TATATTGACGCTCAATTGTTTTAAAGTAGGGGGTGCTATCTTTCGAGGGGTGCTATCTTTCCAGACTTTACGGTATTATCTTTTTTAATTCTTTCCTTAAAAATAAATGTTTTTTTTTCACCATCATCTCAAATCTTCATGATTATCATGTGTTGTCATTATTTGTATATATATTCCTTTTTACAAGTAATAAATAATACCAAGGCCATGCAGAAATGAAATTTTTTAAGGAACCCGATTTTTCAAACAATAATGTGTCTTGGAAAAAAAATTTTTTTTCTTTTTCTAATTGTATAGTTCCTTATGAATAATAAATCTGATGATGATGATTACAGGTGTCAGATTTAATAAAAAATTCCTGTCACAAACATGAAATAACCATGCTTTGCATGCCCCATAACTGTGGGGTTTTTCCACAGGTTGAGCCGCACACATGTTGGAAGGCTTTGGACAAAACTTTCCCTATCCTCCCCTCAGACCAGGCTTGGTTGTCATCATATTGGCATTGATCAGTGATAGCTTGGTGCTTGTGTGATGATTGCTTTGTGTTATTGCCACATTAGAATAAAGTTAGTCTTGAAAATTTTGCAATTCAGGAGGTTGCAACCTAGGTCATTGTTTTGGTTTTTCCCTGAATTCAGAGTTTTGAGTCCTGGGTTGCTGTAATTTTTATGAAAAGAAAAGTATTAATATTTAACAATTAATTATTTAAATGTTTATTTTGTTGAAAAAATATACATTGATAGTGTACATTTTCTGTGCTTAACATCCATGTGACCCTAAGTCTGGACAAAAGATCCCTTTCTATGAGTTTGGCTGGTATATCCCAAAGGCGTCCCCTGTCTTGTCAGTGGCATGCCTACTCACCAACAACCCTCCCCCCATTTACTAAAATAACAAATTCAGTTGGTTAAACAAAAATTAAAGAGAAGCAGAAAATTTGGCAAAATGGTTAATTTATAACATACCAAACAAAATCGAACCATTTTATAACTTTTTCCTTGTCGGCCATATTGCTGACAAAGATGTATATAATCATGTGATAATTTTAACCTATAGGACAGAGGACTGATTGGGCAAAAACCCAATCCAGTCCCCTACCCAAAATTATAAATTTGTTAGTTAATATCAGAGAAACAGAGCGTTTAGGAAAATGATTATAAAAACAAACACTATTTTACAACTTCCCTCTTAACATCAGAGTCCAAATGCAATTTCAGGGCCACCAACCCTACTCTGAATTGTAACCTCCTGTGCTTAGAACAAGTTGCAGATTCTCGTTGCTTTGATGATCTGGATGTTTATGCGCACCTAATATCACAACTCTTCAAAATGTTGCAGAGTGGCAACAGCTTGGACACAGTGCCATCCTTACCCAGAGGTAGGATCGTTGCAGGCAACTTTTCGGCTAGCGTGCCAGCGGCCATCTCTGGACTGGTGCTGTGAGGGAAGATTAGTGAAAAGTGTCATTGACGATTGATGCAGTCTCAATAAACTCCAGGGCCCTGCGCCTCCCCCCTGGTATCGAAGGCATCATCATATCCATAGGGCGGAGCAGGTCAGATTAGTCTTGTGTACACGAGGAAGATGTGAGAATGACTGTAAAGTGTTCAAGGTAGCATGCATGCTTCAATGTCTGCCAATTTCCAATAATCAAACGTCGCTTACTCGAATTGTTTCTTTTTCAATTGTGCCGTCTTGACATCTTCTTGTGATTATAATAGTATAATAATATTATTAATATTATTGATTACGAAAAACAAAATATTATCAATGAAAATCTTGTAATTACCCAGCAAGATCTGCTCCGCGTTTTGATTCCAATTAAAATATTTATAATAACCAAAAATATCAATACAAATAAAAAAAGTACCTCTGGTTAGTTATTAACATGTTTTCTTTAGGAGATCCAAACCAAACCAAACAACAACGCTTACGTTTTGTCTGTCAAAAAATAAATTGTTTTTCCAAAAAAAAAAAATCAATTCGTGTCTGTCCTACCAAAAAAAAACCAATAGGATAAATAATTGGGGTCTGTACTAGGAAAATCGACCTTCCAGCTGATTTTTTTTTTTGAGTAATTGTTGATCAAAAATTTGACCAATAAAAATTTATTACTATTTTTAGATTTTGATGTGCTCAAAAATTTTTATTAAAAAAATTCCGTTATATACAATATTAATATTAATATTAAATATATAAATTAATATTAATATACTAATAAAAAAAATTTTTTTAAATAAAATTTTACTTTTGTTAAATTTTAAAATTAATATGGAAAATTTATCTTTGAACTCAAGTTTAAGACCAGTATATAATTTTATAGAATTAGGCTTAGAAGATTATGAAGAAAATGAATTAGTTCTTGGTACCATAGATGATTTAATGACATTCTTTCAAGAAAATAATTGTCATTGTAAAACTACAAGAGCTACAAAAAATGATTTAAGAACCTGTTATGAAAAAGTAGGATTTAAGCAGTTTTTTGAAAGACATCTTCAACTACGTGCATTAGAAAAAGATGCACTTGAATCATTCATAAAAGCTCAATTGATGTCTTTTGAAACAACTAGTATTCAATCAGAAGGTAGACATAATTATAGATATAATTTTATGCATCATTTACCCTTATGTTACCCAGCATATATAAAATTATGTGGAATCACTGAATATATGCTTAAAACCTTGCAAGTTGATTTACAAATTAATGGATTATCAGAACGACTTCATAAAAATACTGGACGTATACCTAAAATCAAATCCTGTGCCCAAGTTGACTTAGAAGTTGGATCAATGGTTAAACAATACTTGTTACAATATGCAGATATATTTGGATTGCCATCACCAATGCGTCATTTTGATGATTCTGATGCTTTCATATATCTTCCAACAGGAAAAACATATGTTTCAGTATATAATGAATTTAAAATCCATTTTCATGCTGAACATGAAACTAAACAAATAATTTCTTACCAAACTTTTCGAAGATTATGGCAAGAATTGATCCCATATCTTAAATTTCAACCTCCAGCAAGTGATCTTTGTGATAAATGTGAAATGTTTAAAGCAGAAATGGCAGTTGCAAAATCTGATGTTGAAAATTATGAAAAAACAAAAAAAGAATATGAGGGACACCGTGAATGTGCAAATCATGAACGTATGCATTATAATAATAATATAGAAAAAAGTAAAACTGATTCATCATTCCTGCATATCTGTTATGATTGGGCTCAGAATGTTGGCATCCCATATTCTCCTCAACAAGTTGGATCAATTTATTTTAAAATACCATTTGCTGTAAATATTTTTGGTGTTTGTAAAACAGGAGAAAAAAATCATCAACTAAATTTTATAATTGCTGAAAATGAATTTCCTTGTGGGGTTTCTAAAGGTGCTAATACAACATTAAATATGGTGTTTAATTCTCTTAAAAAATTTTCCATAGATGGTGTAAAAAATTTACAAATTACTTGTGATAATTGTACTGCACAAAATAAGAACAACCTAACTCTTTGGTTTTGGTTGTGGTTGATAATGTCTGGTTGGTTTGATGAAATTATGGTTAATTTTATGATTCCTGGACATACCAAGTTTATCTGTGACTCATTTTTTGGTCAAATTAAAAAAGTGTATAGAAATCATCATGTAAACACTGTTGATGATATTGAACACATTGTTAATATTTCATCTGAAGGTAATGAAGCAATTAGATATGATAATGGATTGGGTTGGATATGGTATGATTTTAACACACTTTTAAAAGATCATTTTAACCCTTTACCTCAAATCAGACAATATTATCAATTTCGGTTTACAAAAAATGATATTGGAAAAGTTCATGTTTCAAAAGAATCAAATGGAGTTGAATATTCTTTTTCTCTTTTAAAAAATAATTTTAATCCACATGATCCTCTAGAGGTTTTTTCAGTATCACCACCATCAGAAGAAAGAAAAAAATATTTATATACAAAAATTCGTCAACATGTTGATGAACCATATAAGGATATTTATTGTTCAAATCCGAATCCAAATCTATAAAAATAATAAATTTTTTTTCTTTAATTTGAAGGTGTGCGCAAAATGGTGATCATTTCTAAATTCGTCTAAAGAAAATTTTAATATAAAAAAGAAAACCCCATTGTACAAGGTTTTATTAAGTTAACACCCTCTGAAACTTTAATCATTTATAATCCTTGTGTAATAGATTGAATTGCATCAAAAATATCCATTTTGGTTTTGGGACCTCGAAGCTTGATTTTCCTAGTACAAACCCCATATGTATATGTTATTAAATATAATTTTTAAATATTACTAATACTTTTTGTGTATTTAAGTCAAGAAAATTATTTTGTTTTAACTTGGATGATTATCATTCAATTCACTCTTTCAGAGCACCAAATACTACAACATTATCAACTGCCCATCATATGGCAAAATGCACAGTTAAAACTATTGAAGATAGTGAAAGTGTATTAATCATTAATAATGGAGTTCATATAAATGACCAAAAAATATAGAGGCCTTAAGAATTATAAAATACCTACACAATGAACATATTTATTATTTAGAGGACAGTTATAATATTAGAAAGTCATGTTGGTTACAAAACAAAAAAAATTTGTTTGATTGTTTTAATAGAATAGAGCTTTTAACAGTTCATTATTATGATTATGCTATTGAACAAAGAAAAAATGATAGATCAATGAAAAATACACATATAATTAACATCAAAGAACAAAATCTTAAAAGTTTAGATGATTACCTTGAAGCTTTAAAAATGATAACAAGTATACCTACATTGAATGAATGTCTTCAACATTATGTGATTCCTATTGTTGCAGATTTTCCTGGGCAGTTATTTATTCAAAGAGCTGTATAATTATATCAAAAATCAATGAATGATTCTCCAAATAATTTGAAGATCCCCAAAATTATTAATAGCTTTATTCCTCTTCTTGGACCATTACATGTCTCTTTAAATATGAGGGAGTCAACAATTTCAACTCATTGGAATTTTTTTGAACAACTATATAAATTTGTTTTTGGAAAAAATAAAAAATTAGCAAAAAAATCAATGCCTTGGAAAATAAACACTCTTTTAGATTTAACAGATAAAGGCTGGAAACAAGTAGCAATCAACATAATTGAAAAATTTGGAAGGTGTTGTAAGGATACAGAATATAGGAGCATCATAGATTTGTTAGATAATATAGTTCCAGCAGTATTGGATATTTATGCTATTATTTTTGATCTGGTTCCTGTGAAGAATATGTAGAAACTATTTTTAGACTGTGGACTTTGCATTAAGATGGGATTGAAAAAACTATAACAAATTACCTTTAGCTTTTTTGTCTGACTTTTTTTATTGGAAGGACAATAAGCATCCATTCTATGATGCTATAAGAAAATATTCATTTAATTTTAATGATTATTATGTTGAAAAATTAAATATGAAAAAAAATATTTTAAATGATTATATGGCTAAACAATGTACCACTAAAGAAAAGTTTGTGATCTCACTGAGTTTTATATTAACATTATAATTTTTTTTTTCATATTATCATACCAGTAATCTCTTAACTTTATTGTATGTTCATGAATCATGTAATTTAAATAGATCTTTCTATGTATAATAATTTTTTATTAATAAATGTAAATTAAATTGAATTATATCAGTTTGTAACTTCTGTCCTCATACATGTATATAAAAATTTAAACAATAAATGAAAAAAAAAAATTTTTTTTCAATCAATTTACATTATAATTGATAAATTAATATTTGCTGTTAATATTCCAATTTTTGGAATAAATTGACGATCTTATAGTCATTAGAAAGCTGAAGTTCCATCATCCATCATACTGAAAAATTACATATTGTTTATTATAGAGACTTTAAAGATCGCCTACAATTTAAAACATCAACTGCTTGTGTTAAAATTCTTGATTTTTTTAAATTTGATTAATTAATAAAAATACTGAACTGATTGGAATGAAAATACCACTATTAGGATGACATTCTGCTCTGATTTATGGTTATGTGTGTTTGCTGAATTATTGTTATATATTCTTGTACTTCATATCTGACTCATATAATAAAAAACAATATAATTATTTACTGATTTATATTAAATATATTCATTTATTAATGTAGTGAGAGTTATTTTAACCCATTAAATTATTATTATTACCTTTTAGTTTTCTTAAACATAAATATATCCATCCATAAGGTTGATTTTATGTGGTAGTAATAGTTATTCCAAAACTCACTATGCTAGTTGAATTAAAAGATATATATATAATCATGCATTTTCTTTTACAAGTAAAAAATATAATGTGAATTTTCTATTGATAAACAAAGCTTATTAGTAAAGAATTATTTTATTTATTAAGGAATTATACATTTGAGATGTGGATCATAGAAGTTGACCTTGTTTCCATTTGTCCATGCCTCGCCAACACAATGTAATATTATTTCTAAAAACCAAATGGTGGCTTCTTGTTTATGTTTTATTGAAATTACAAGTTCAAAATAATTTGTTGTAACATGATTAAGAATTGAAGGCGTAACTTTCAACAAGTAATTCTTTTCCGTTTTTTTAGTAAACCATAGCTAAAATTTTGCAAGGAAATAAAATAAGTCTCAAAGAATGCGTGTACAAAATATCACGTTTCTGGTTAAAACTTCATGTGGGTGTGCTAGGTGACAAATGAAAAAGTTC